GGGCACAGGAGGCCCCCTGGGGGTCCCCCCCAATTGGGCGGGAGGCTCTGGGCCCCCCCCTCCCACCTCAGTTTCCCTCTGGGATCGAGGGCTTGGAATGTCCTGACTTGTCCCCCCCACACCTGGAGCCGCCGCCGGAGACCCCCAAGCTGGGTGAGGATATGGGGGGGACGTGGAGGGCACAGGGGGAGGGAGGGAACAGGGGATGGGGGAACATGAGGGGGACAGGGGGAGGGGGGACATGGGCCGATATGGGGAGAGGGGAACATGGGGGACATGGGTTGGGGGGCACAGGTTGGGGGCACGGGGGTGACATGGCGGGGAGGGATATGGGGGGACACTGGGGGGGGAACACGGGACATGAGGGGGTGGGGACATGAGTGGAGTGACAGAGGTTGGGGACATGGGGGGTGACATGGAGGGGGCACAGGGGAAGGGGACACAGACTGGGGGGTCCAGGAATTCCCTGACGTGGGATTTCCCAGCAGCCGCCGGGCCCCCCGAAAACAGCGTCACAGGAGGGGACAGGTGAGGGGGGACACCCTGTCCTTTGTTACGTCCCCTGGGACGCCCCTGTCACTTGTCACCTCTGCCCAGTCCCTCCTGTCCATTGTCACCCCCCTGGTTTCTCCTGTCCCTTGTCACCTCCCCTGGGACCCTCCTGTCCATTGTCACCCCCTCCAGTCCCTCCTGTCTCTTGTCACCCCCTCCCTGGTGACATTTGGTGGCTTTGGGGGCTCCTGGAGCCCCCCTGACCCCCTCCCCCATTATCCAGGAGGAAACCTGGGAATTCCCCCCGGGAGGAGAAGTTCGTTAAGAAGCTGCTCATTAAACGGTAACTGGGGGGGCGGGGACCTCCGGGACCCTCTTGTCACCTTTGTCCAGGGCCACCTGTCCCCCTTGTCCCATCCTTGTCACCCCCTTTGAGGGTCCCTGGCCCTTGGTCATAAGGGTCCCCCCATCTCGTCCCCTGGGCCAGGGGTTGGCGAGGACCCAGGACCCCCCTGGCCTTTGTCACCATGTCCCCAACATCCCTCTGGAGTCCCCCTGTCCCCAGCTCTCCCAGACCTTGTTCCCCTCTCCCTGGGGTCCCCCCATCCCTTGTCCTCCTGTCCCCAGGGTACCCCTTGTCCCCCCGTGTCCCTTGTTCCCCCATCCCAAACTCCCAGGATTTGTCCCCCGGGGGTGTTCCCCTGGTGCTGACCCCCCTCTCTCCCCCCAGGAGGCGTCCCCGAGGGTGCCAGGGCCCCCCCCCACGCCCCCTCAAGGTGCCACGGGTGTCCCTGGAGCGGCTGGAGCTGGGCCTGGCGCTGGACCCGGCCCTGCCCCTGCCCGCCTTCCGCGTCCTGCCGGGGCCCTCGGCCGGGCAGTTCAGCGTCATCGTCATCGAGCAGGGGGGGACAGCGCAGGGGACAGCGCAGGGGACAGCCCAGGGGACAGCCCAGGGGACACCCCCAGGGACAGCCCAGGGGACACCCCAGGGGACAGCCCAGGGGACAGCGCAGGGCACGCGGCCACAGGGACACATCCCCATCAAGGTGAGTGTGCCCCGGACCCCCGCGGTCACCTGTGCCACTTCATTGTCACCTGTCCTTTTGCAGTGTCACCTGTGCCACCCCAGTGTCCCATGTCCCCCTCCAGTGTCCCCCTGTGTCCCCCTGCCCCCTCCTAATATCCTGTTCCTCCCTGTGTACCCTCCTTATGTCCCCCTGCCCCTCCCCATGTTCCCTCCCCGTGTCCCCATTGCTCTCCAGTGTCCACCTCCATGTCCCTGCATCCCCTACTCACGTCCCCTTGTCCCTCTTCCCTATGTTCCCTCCCCATGTCCCCTCCCCATGTCCCCCTTCTGTCCCCCCCACGTCCCCCCTCACCTTTTCCTTCCCTCCCCCCCAGGAGGAGCCTCAGGAATTGGCCATCGGGGACCCCGGGGACACCAAGCCCGTGGGGCTGCTGCCCCCTCCCGCCGTGGGGGGTGTCCCCACGGAGGGTGTCCCCACGGAGGGTGTCCCCACGGAGGGTGTCCCCACGGAGGGTGTCCCCGTGGGGTGGAGTTGCCGGGTGTGCGGCCGCGCGGGGGCCGTGGTGATGTGTGACCGGTGCCAGCGCTGCTTCCACCTGCACTGCCACCTGCCCGCCCTGCTCGACGTGCCCAGGTACGGGCCCAGGATCCCAGCGGCACCTCCCTGGGATCCACTGCCCCTCGGCACCTCCCTGATCCCTGTGGGAATCGTCCCACTGACTGCAGACCTTGTGGAATGTCCGTTCCCTGTCTGTGATCCCCCCGGGAATCCCTCTGACGACCCCAAAACTTGGGGGATCTCCTGCCCCTGATTTCTCTGGGAATCCCCCACCGAGCCCAAACATCATGGGGTCTTCTTTCTCTTTCCCTGATCCTTGTGGGAATCCTGTTGCTGGCCCCAAACCTCCTGGGATCTCCCATTCCCAATGGCTCCCGGTTCCACAGCTCCGACTGGACGTGTTCGCTGTGCCAGGAGCTCCCCCCGCCCTCCGAGGCCCCCTCGGGCCAGGGAACCCCCGCCCGGCTGAGCCCCCTGGACCAGCAGGTGAGTCCCGGGGGGGATTCGGGGGGATCCAAGGGATCCCGGGGGATCCAGGGCTGCCCTCTTTCTCCCCCCCAGAGGTGTGAGCTGGTGCTGCTGGAGCTGCTGTGCCACGAGCCCTGCAGGGCCCTGCAGCGCCCGCGCGGCCTCGCGGTGAGTGGGGGCTACCGGGGGGGCTGGGGGGCTACTGAGCCATGGGGACCACCGTGAACACTTCAGGGGCTACAGGGGGGGCTACTGAGCCATGGGGACCACCATGAACACCTCAGGGGCTACGGGGGGGCTACTGAGCCATGGGGACCACCATGAACACCTCAGGGGCCACGGGGGGGCTACTGAGCCATGGGGACCACCATGAACACCTCAGGGGCCACGGGGGGGCTACTGAGCCACGGAGACCACCATGAACACCTCAGGGGCTACGGGGGGGCTACTGAGCCATGGGGACCACCATGAACACCTCAGGGGCTCCTGGGGTTTGGTGACCCTTGTGGAGTTTGATGCTCACGGGAGGGGTTTGGTGGCCCAAGCAGTGGTTTGGTAGCCCCAGGGCACATTTGAAGGCCCAAGCAGGGATTTAGTGGCCCCAGTCATGGTTTGGTAGCCCCTGACACCGTTTGGTGGCCACAGGAGGGGGGTCCCGCCCTGGACCTGACCCTGATGAGGGCGAAGCTGCAGGAGAAGCTGAGCCCCCCCTACAGGACCCCCGAGGAGTTTGCCAGGGATGCCTGGAGGGTCCTGGGACAGCTCCAGGGGACCACCGAGGTCTGGGGGGTGTCTGGGGGGTCCGGGCAGTGTCTGGGGGTCCCTGAACGTCCCTGGGGGAGGTCTGGGGGTCCCTCTGGGCATCCCTGGGGAGGTCTGGGGTGGCTTGGTGGTTTCTCTGGGTGTCTGAGAGGGTCTGGGGGTGGTCTCTGGAGGGGTTTGGGGGTCCCTGGGGAGGTCTGAGGGTCCCTCTGGGGTATCTGAGGGTCCCTGTGGGGGTCAGGGGGTGTCTCTAGGGGTCTCACCCTCATGTCCCCCCAGGACAAGGCGGGGGTCTCTGAGGGGTCTGGGGTGCTCTGGGGGGTCCCTGGGGATCTGGGGGGGTCTCTGGGGCCTCAGAGGGGGTGTCCAGCCCCCCTGACCTCCTGTGTCCCCCCAGGACAAGGTGGGGCTGCAGTCCCTGCTGAGCGTCCAGAGGTTCCTTGAGACCCGCCTGAGCCGTGTCTTCGGGGACAGGAAATTCTGGGACCACCCAGGGACCTCTCTGCAGCCTGAGCCCCCTCCCCAGGGGGGCTGGGACCACCCGGGGTCACCCCTGGCATCCTGGGACCCCAATTCTGCTGCTCCAGGGTCCTGATCCCCCTCCCGGGGGTCCTGAAACCCTCCCTGGAACCCCAATCCCCCTCCCCGGGGTCGTGATCCCCCTCCCAAGGGTCCTCAAATTCCCCCTGGGACCCCAGTTTGTTCTCTCTGGGACCCCAATCCCCCCTCTCAGGACCCCAATCCTCCTCACCAGGGTCCTGGTCCCCCCTCCAGGACCCCAGTTCTGCTCCTTGGACCTATAAAACCGCTCCTGGTCCTTCTTCACTGTGGGTCAGGATTTGCCCGGCTGTGACCCGTGGGAGGCCCGGGATGGAGCGGGGTCCTGGCAGGGACCTGCAGGCCGTGGAGAGGGAAGCCCAGGCTGGAGCAGGTTTTTCCCGGGTAGGACTTGCGGCCCCTGTGGGGGACCCACGTGGGTACAGCTCATTCCTGAAGGACTGACCCCATGGAGGAGTGACCCACGGGACAGCAGGTTGGGAAGAGCTGCTGCCCGAGGGATGGACTCACGGCAGAGTCACGGTCCATCAAGGGGAAGGACTCCAACTCCTCTCCCTGAGCAGCAGCAGAAACAACAACGGACTGTAACCCCCATTCCCTGTGCCCCTGCGCCGCTGGGGAGGAGCAGGGAGAACACGGAAGGAGGGGTGGGGGAAGGTGTTCTTAAGACTATTTGTCAGTCTTTGGTTCTTATGCTCTTAGTAATAAATTGAACTACCATCCCCACTTGGAGTCTGTTTTGCCCATCAAGGTGATCAGCCACTGACCTCTCCCAGCTCTTCTCTCGACTCATGCATTCTGAATTGCTTTTTTCTTCTGTCTTTGTCCAGTTACAGAGGGGAGAGTGAGAGAGCGGCTTTAGCGGGTACCTGGTATCTGGCCAGGGTCAACCCCCTACAGAGGGCAAACTGGTCCCAGTACAGCCCCCCCCGTAAAGATGGTGGCGCCCAGTAGAAGGAAGGGCCTCAAGCTCCGCCCCCGTGCGCGGGGATTGGTCGGTGGGGCCTGAAATTGCCGAAGTTTTCCGGAAAGAGCCGAAGGCACGAGCGGCGCCGCGCCCGGTTCGTCGCGGAGGGTCCGGTCCCGCCCCCTTTACCGGGAGGACCCGAGTTGTTCCGGAAAGAACCGAAGCGACCCCGGAACGGGCTGAGCTCCCCCCGAGCGGCTCCGGAAAGAGCCGAAGGGCCCCGGATCCCCTTCCACCCCCCTCGGGTCTGGAGACCCCCGAGGCGGCTCCTAAACTTGCCGAGCGGCTCCAGAGGGTCCCGAAGCGGTTCTGGAGGATCCCGAAGGGGCTTCGGAAAGTCACGAAGTGATTCGCGGTCGTTCCGGAACTTCCCGAACCGGTTCCGGAACTTTACGAAGCGGCTCAGGAGATCCCCGAACCCTTCCCGGACTTTCCCGAAGCGACTCCGGAAGTTGCCGAGCGTCTCCGGAAGTTGCCGAGCGGGGCGGCCCTCAGCGCTTGCCCCCGGCCCCGTCGGTCCCGGACCCCCCGAAACCCCCCGAAACCCCCCCCAAAAACCCCCAAAACCCCCCAGAAAGCCCCGAGCCGCCGCTCCCCCCGCGCCCCCCGGGGGGGCCGGCGCCGCCCCGGCCCGGGCCGGCAGGATGATCAAGCTGTTCTCGCTGAAGCAGCAGAAGAAGGAGGAGGAATCGGCCGGAGGCACCAAGAGCTCCAGCAAAAAGGCCTCGGCGGCGCAGCTGCGGATCCAGAAAGGTGCGACTGGGGCGGGCTGGGACGGACTGGGGCGGACTGGGACCAGTTACGATTCTGAGGGGGGTCAGCGACTGGGCCCAGCGGGGGTCAGAGATTGGGCCCAGTTAGGCCCTGGTAGGGGGAAGGGGCTGGACCCAGTAGAGGTCAGGTACTGGGCCCAGTAAGGGTCAGGGACTGGTCCCAGTTGTGGTCAGGTACTGGGCCCCGTAAGGGCCAGAGACAGCATTCAGTAGGGTTCCAGTTGGGGTCACGTACTGGTCCCAGTACGAGTCACATACTGGTCCCAGTAAGGCCCCACTTGGGGCAGGAACTGGTCCCAGTATAGTTCCACTGGGGGTCAGGTCCTGGTCCCAGTTGGGATCAGGTACTGTCCCAGTAAGGGTCGGGGACTGGTCCCAGTTGGGGTCACACACTGGTCCCACTGGGGACATGTCTGTGTCCCCTTTGTCCCTGTCCCCTGTGTGTCACCTGCGTCATGTCCCCGATGTCCCCTCAGTGTCCCTTTGTGTCCCCAATCCCCCCAATGTCCCCAATCGCCCCAACCCCCCCCGTGTCCCCCAGTGTCCCCCCAGTGTCCCCAGATGTCCCCAGTGTCCCCAGATGTCCCTGTTTGTCCCCAGACATCAACGAGCTGAACCTGCCCAAGACGTGTGAGATCGACTTCTCCGACCAGGACGACCTGCTGCACTTCCGGCTGCACATCTGCCCTGACGAGGTGGGACTGTCCCCAGATGTCACCTCCCCTGTCACCCGTGTCACCCCCCGTGTCACCCGTGTCACCTCCTGTCCCCCCCAGCTCCCTCCCTGATTGTCCCCCCCCTTCCCCTCGGGTCACTTTGGGGTCCCCACTGTCCCCATGTCCCCCCCTCTGACGCCCCCAATTGTCCTCTCCCATCCCTGGGGGTCCCCCCAGTGTCCCCAGCCCCTCCAGATGTTCCCCAGATGTCCCCCCGGTGACATTTCTCTGTCCCTCAGGGTTTCTACAAGGGCGGCAAATTCGTCTTCAGCTTTAAGGTGAGTCCTGGGCCACCAAACCTGTCCCTGGGCCACCAAACCCCTCCTGGGCCACCAAATCCGTCCCTGGGCCACCCCTCTTGGGCCACCAGTGGCCTTGGAAGTGTGGGGGGACACCTGGTAGCCACCCCGCCCTGAGCAGTGGCCACCAAGCCCTGCTGGGGCTGCTGTGGGTCCAAGGGGGGCCCTGGGGGCTGGTGGCCACCAAGGTGGGCCTGGTGGCCACCAGCCAGTGACCGGTGGCCGTGTCCCCCCCCAGGTGGGCCAGGGGTACCCCCACGACCCCCCCAAGGTGAAGTGCGAGACGATGGTTTATCACCCCAACATCGACCTGGAGGGCAACGTGTGCCTCAACATCCTCAGGTGGGCTACCAACATCTAGGGGGGCTACCGACATCCAGGGGGGCTACTGACAGCCCCGAGGGGGCTACCAGCCCATGGAGGGGCTACTGACAGCCCTGGGGAGCTACCAACCCACGGAGGGGCTACCAAACACCTCCCGTGGGCTCCCCCCTGGAGGGGCCGTGGCCACCTGTTGGTGTCTGTGGTGGCCAGGCTGCCCCGGGTCTGAGTGTGTCGGTCTGTCCCCGTGTCCATGTGTCCCTGATGTGTCCGTGTGTCCCTGACGTGTCTGTGTGTCCCTGACGTGTCTGTGTGTCCCTGATGTGTCCGTGTGTCCCTGACGTGTCTGTGTGTCCCTGACGTGTCTGTGTGTCCCTGATGTGTCCGTGTGTCCCTGACGTGTCTGTGTGTCCCTGACGTGTCTGTGTGTCCCTGATGTGTCCGTGTGTCCCTGACGTGTCTGTGTGTCCCTGACGTGTCTGTGTGTCCCTGACGTGTCTGTGTGTCCCTGACGTGTCCATGTGTCCCTGATGTGTCCATGTGTCCCTGACCACGTCCACGTGTCCCTGACGTGTCCGTGTGTCCCTGATGTGTCCATGTGTCCCTGACCACGTCCACGTGTCCCTGACGTGTCCGTGTGTCCGTAGGGAGGACTGGAAGCCCGTCCTGACCATCAACTCCATCATCTACGGCCTCCAGTACCTGTTCCTGGTGAGGAACACGGGGACACACCTGGGGGGACACCTGGGGACAGGGACATGGGGACACCTGGGGGGACACCTGAGGACAGGGACATGGGGACACCTGGGGGGACAGCTGGGGACAGGGACATGGGGACACCGGGGGGGGCACCAGGGGATTCAGGGAGGGCTGAGGGGCCCAGGGGGGCAGGGGCAGGTTTTGGGGTCCTTGGGGTTCTCTTAAAAGGTTTTGGGGTCCCTGGGGGGTGTTAATGGGGTTTGGGATCTGGGAAGAGTGTTTTGGGGTCTGAGGGGCTGTTAATGGAATTTGGGGTCTGGGGGGGAGTGCTTTGGGTTCTGGGGGGCTGCTACTGGGGTTTTGGGGTCCGTTCGAGCATTTTGGGGTCTGGGTTCGGCGCTCACGGGGTCTGTGCCCCCCCAGGAGCCGAACCCCGAGGACCCCCTGAACAAGGAGGCGGCCGAGGTCCTGCAGAGCAACCGGCGCCTCTTCGAGCAGAACGTGCAGCGCTCGCTGCGGGGGGGCTACGTGGGGGCCACGTACTTCGAGCGCTGCCTCAAGTGACCCCCTGCCCCGAAATCCCCCCCAAAAACACCCCCGGGACCCCCCCCAAAAATCCCTGACCCCCCTGGACCCCACAGAGCCCCCCAAAACCCCGCTCGGGGGGGCTCTGTGGGGGCCACAGACATCAAGTGACCCCCCCCCCCTAAAAAAATTCCCCCAAAAAACACCCCCGGGACTCCCCAAAAAACCCCCAAACTCCTCCCATACCCCCCCCCCCCAAAACACCCCCAGGACCCCCTAAATACCCCTTTTGGGGGGGGGAGGTGACGTGGGGGCCACTGACATCGGGACTCCCCCGGGGACCCCACATATCCCCCCCAACACCCCCAGGACCCCCCAAATTCCCCTTGTGGACCCCCCAGGACCCCCAAAGTCCCCCTGGGGACCCTCTGGGACTCCCCAGGACCCCCCTGGGAACCCCCCAGGACCTCCTGGGACCCCCCAAAATCCCCCCCCTCAGAACCCCCCAAACCCCACGCGGTACCTCCGGGGACCCCCCCAAGACCCCCCCGGGGACCCCCAAAATCCCCCCCAGGACCCCCCAAGCCCCCCCAGGACCTCCTGGGGACCTCCCAGGACCCCCCCAGGACCCCCAAAATTCCCCCCCCTATTTATTCCCCCCGGGGGTGGGGGGGGACCCCCCGTCATGGCTCGAGCGGAGATTAAAGAGCGAAGGGAACGAAGGCACTGGTTATACTGGTTTTTGCTGGTTTATACTGGGGGGGCTGGTTATATTGGTTTATACTGGGGGGGGTGGTTATACTGGGTTGTACTGGTTATACTGGAGGTGCTGGTTTATACTGGGGATACTGGTTACACTGGTTTATACTGGGAGGGGCCCAGTGTGTTCCTGGTTATAGTGGGAGGAGCAGTGGGGGTGTTAGTGGTTGTACTGAGATGGGGGTGCCGAGTTACTGGTCTCATGGTTCCCAATCTGCCCAGTGGCACCAGTTCCCCGCTCCAGTATGGCCAGTTCCCAGTGCCGGTATCCCCGGTTCCCAGTGCCAGCACTCCCGTCCCCCCAGTTCCCAATCCCGACCCCCCCGAGCCGCCAGGGGTCGCTCCTGTCTCTGCCCCGGCCCGGAAGTGCCTCTCCGGCCCCTCCTCTGTGGCCTTCCCTCCGCCACGTGACCGGGCCACGGTGACGTCACTGTTTGCGGAAGTGCCGGTAAAAGGGGCCGGGGCGATTTGGGCGAATTTAGGGCGGTTTGGGGGCATTTGGGGGCATTTGGGGATTTCAAGGGGCGCCGGGAGGGAATCTGGGGGAGTTCGAGGGGATTTCGGGGGGGTTTGGGGCGGCCGGGGGCGATTTAAAGAGCCGGGGGGTTGGCGTTTGGGGGTATTTCAGGGGCTTTTGAGAGGATTTGGGGGGATTTTAGGGAATTCGAGGGGACTTCCGGGAGCTTTGGGGACGGTTTCGGGGGGGTCCTGGGGGATTTCGAGGGGTCCCCGTGTCCCCCTCTCTGTCCCCATGTCCGTGTCCCCTCCCCTCCCCATGTCCCGTTGATGTCCCCGCTGTCCCATCGATGTCCCCGCTGTCCCGTTGATGTCCCCCCCGGGTGCCCCAGGTGTCCCCGTGCCCATGGAGCTGCTGTTCGGGCGCCGGAAGACGCCGGAGGAGCTGCTGCGGCAGAACCAGCGGGCTCTGGGCAGGGCCGTGCGGGAGCTCGACCGCGAGCGGCAGAAACTCGAGGCGCAGGAGAAGAAAATCATCGTGGACATCAAGAAAATGGCCAAGCAGGGGCAGATGGTGAGACTGGGGACGGGGGGGACATTGGGGACATTGGGGACACGGGGGGCACACGTGGGGACATTGGGAGTGGTGCAGGGCCGGTGTGTGGTGGGAGGGAGAAGGTGGAGGGGACACGGGGGGGACCTGAGGGACATCCCAAGCCCTCAGCGTCCCTGATGTCCCTGGACGTCTCCCCAGTGTCCCCAGTGTCCCCTTGGCTGTCCCCCTGACGTCCCCCTGCTGTCCCCCGTGTCCCCAGGACGCTGTCAGGGTGATGGCCAAGGACCTGGTCCGGACCCGGCGCTACATCCGCAAGTTCATCACGATGAGGGCGAACGTCCAGGGCGTGTCCCTGAAGATCCAGACCCTCAAATCCAACAGCTCCATGGCCACGGCCATGCGCGGCGTCACCAAGGCCATGGCCACCATGAACAGACAGGTGGGGGCACACCTGGGCACACCTGGGGCCATCTGGGGTCACCAGTGGTCAGCAGTGGTCACCCAGGGTCACCCAGGGTCACCAAGGCCAGGCCGCCACGGGCAGACAGGTGGGGACACCTGGGGGTCACCAAGGCCACCAGGGGTGTCCCCAAGGCCACCATGACCAGGCAGGTGGGTGACCCTGGGATGTCCCCCAGGGGTGTCCCCAAGGCCGTGGGCCGGTGTCACCCCCGGGGATGTGCCCCAGGCCGTTGTCCCCTGTGTGTCCCTGATGTCCCCAGTGTCACCCCCGTGTCCCCCCAGCTGAAGCTGCCCCAGATCCAGAAGATCATGCTGGAATTCGAGCGCCAGGCCGAGATCATGGACATGAAGGAGGAGCTGATGAACGACGCCATCGACGACGCCCTCGGGGACGAGGACGACGAGGAGGAGAGGTGGGGACACACCCAGGGGACAGGGAGGGGACAGGGAGGGGACACAGGCACATGGGGGGACAGGGGGACACGAGAATTTGGGGATATGGGGACAGGGGGACATGGTGATGGGGGGGGGGATGTGGCATTTTGGGGACCCTCTGGGTAGGGCTGTTGGGGTCCCAGTGTCCCTCTGTCCCATTCCCAGTGTCCCTCTGTCCCATTCCCAGTGTCCCATTCCCAGTGTCCCTCTGTCCCACTCCCAGTGTCCCTCTGTCCCACTCCCAGTGTCCCTCTGTCCCACTCCCAGTGTCCCACTCCCAGTGTCCCACTCCCAGTGTCCCTCTGTCCCTCGCAGTGACGCCGTCGTGTCCCAGGTCCTGGATGAGCTGGGATTGAACCTCACGGATGAACTGGCCAGTGAGTGGGGGGGGATCTGGGGGGCACTGAAGGGGCCTGGGGGGAGTCTTGAGGGGATTTAGGGGCATTTAGGGGGTGTTTAGGGGGCCCGGGGGGTGTTTGGGGGAGGCTTGGGGGGGATTGTTTAAGGGACTGGGGGGATCTGGAGCCATTTGAGAGGCGTTTGGGGCCATTTTGGGGCTATTTTGGGGGTATTTGGGGCCACTTTGGGGGTATCTGGGGCCTTTTGGGAGCTATTTCCCCCCATTTTGGCTCATTCCGAGCGGGATTTCGGGGGTCCTGGGGGTGCCCCCGGTGCCCCCCTGACCCCCCTGTGTCCCCCCCCAGCTCTGCCCCCCCCGGGCGGGTCCCTGGCGGCGGGGGAGGGGCGGGGGGGTGCCGAGGCCGCGGCTGCTTTGGCCGACGCCGACGCCGACCTGGAGGAGAGACTGAAGAACCTGCGGCGGGACTGAGACCCCCCCGGACCCCCCCGGACCCCCCCGGGGGGCTGAGACCCCCCCCTGGGGCAGTCTGACCCCCTCGGGGGGGATTCACTCCCTTTTTTTGGGGCTTTTCTGGCATTTTTGGGGGTATTTTGGACCCTCCCCGGCGGTCTTGGACCCCCCCAAGGTGGCTCAGACCCCCCCCAAGGGACCCCCGTGGGTGTTTGACCCCCCCCCCGCAGGGGGATTTGCCCCCTTTTTCTGGGTTTTTTACTCTTTTTTGGGGGGTATTTTTAGGGTATTTTTGATGGCCCCCCCCCGAGGGACTTTCCCCCCCCTTTTTTTGGGTTCTTGCCTCTGTTTTGGGGTAAATTCCTCCCTTTTCTGGGGTCTTTCCACCCCCCTGGGGGGAGTCTTTCCACCCTTTTATTTGGATTATTAACACTATTTTGGGGTCTTTCCCCCCCCCCCATTTGGGGTCCTTCCCCCCCATTTTGGGGTCTCCCCCCCGGGGCAATAAAGGCTCGTTGGACCCGCGGCTGCTCCGGCTCCTTCCTGGGGGTCCCAGTTTGGGACTGGGAGGGGGCACTGGAGGGGGATCAGTTTGGGGTCTTTAAGGGGGTGGGGTCCCAGTGTATCCCAGTCCCCTCCCAGTACAGCCCAGTGCCCCCCAGTCCATCCCAAACAGACCCCAGACTGAGCTGGGGGTGTCCCCCCGGGGCCTGGGGGAGGGCTTTGGGGAGACCCCAAATTTCCCAAGGAATGGGAATTTTTGGCTCCACGAGGCCAAGAAAGGACAAAACTCCTCCCGGGAGCAAAGAGGGGCAAAACCGGGGGGGGAGAGGGACAGAGCCCGGGACCCTCCAGAGACCCCGGAGAACCCCCTGGGGGTCTTTGGGAGCCGCCAGGTCATGGGAGACGTCCCATGTCGGGTCTCTGAGACCAGGGATTGGGATCACGGAGCCACCGGACACTGGGGGGGTCAAAGTCATGTTCCCACCCCCCCACTGGACCCCCAAGTCCCCCAGAACAAGCTCCCGGAGCCCCCCCAACCCTCCCGCCCCCCTCACTTGTCCCTGGCGGCCGCCCGGGCGTGGATCCGGCCGTGCCGCGCCAGCGACGACTTGTTGCTGAAGCTCTTCCCGCAGGCCGGGCAGGGGAAGGGCCGCTCCCCGGTGTGGGACCTGCCGTGCACCGTCAGGTCCGCCAGGTACTTGAAGCTCTTCCCGCAGAGCGCGCAGGGGTAGGGCCGCTCCTGCGTGTGGCTGCGCCGGTGCATGGCCAGGTTGGACTGCTGGCTGAAGCGCTTCCCGCAGGCCGGGCAGGGGTAGGGCCGCTCCCCGGTGTGCGAGCGCCGGTGCTTGCCCAGGTCCGAGGGGTTGGTGAAGCTCTTGCCGCAGGCGGAGCAGCCGTAGGGCCGCTCCCCGGTGTGCAGGCGCCGGTGCGTGGTCAGCGTGGACAAGTGGCCGAAGCGCTTCCCGCAGGCGCCGCAGCCGAAGGGCTTCGCCCCCGTGTGCGTCCGCAGGTGGGTCCGCAGGTGGGTCAGGCGCCCGAAGGTCTTCCCGCACTCGGGGCAGGGGTGGGGACGCTCCGGGGGGGGGTCCCGGCGGGCTCGGCGCCGCTCGGAGCCTCTCCGGGGCGCCGGGAGGTCCTGGGGGGGGGCTGGAGGGGGGGCTTGGGGTGGAGGAGGAGACGTGGGGGGAGCTGGAAAGGGGGAGAGAGGAGGGGGAGCTTTGGGGGGTCAGCGGTGGGATCTGGAGCCTCCCCCCTCCCGTGGATGGATCTGGGGGGTCAAGGTTGGGATCCGGAGCCTCCCCCCTCCCATGGATGGACCTGGGGGGTCAAGGTTGGGATCCGGAGCCTCCCCCCTCCCATGGATGGACCTGGGGGGTCAAGGTTGGGATCCCACCTCTGGATGGTTTTTGTGCCCACTGAGATGGTTTTGGGTCCATTGAGAGGGTTTTGGGTTCATTGTGGTGTTTTTTCAGTCCACTGAGGTGGTTTCTGGGTCCCACCACCCCCGACCTCCCCTCGCAGCCCCTTCCCCCCGATTTTTTTTTGGGGGGTGTCTCCTCCCCCTCCCCGTTACCTCCTTCCTGTGGCTCCTCCCCCTCGGCCCCAAAGTCCTCCTCCTCCTCCAAAGGGGGGCTGGGGGGGACCCCCAAAGCCTCGGGGTCCTCCAGGTCCTCGGGGGGCACCTCCTCCACCTTCACCCGCACGGTCACCTGCAGGACCCCCCCGAAAATGGGACCCTCGGGACCCCCAAAGGGCTCCAGAGCCCCCCAAGACCCCCCAAAGCCCCCAAAACCCACCCCCAAAGACCCCTCAGACTCCTCCCAAGAACCTCCAGAACCTCCCCAAGCCCCCCCAGACCCACAAAATCACCCCCAGACCCCCTCGAAGAACCCCCAGACCCCTCCAGCCCCTCCCAAGACACCCCAGAGCCTCCTAAACACACACACCCCCCCCCGCCGCTCCCGTTCTCCTTCCCCCACCTGCTCCTCCCAGATCCCGGCGCTCTCCGCCGTTCCCGGCTGGAATCTCTCGGCCAGCGCCACGGCCTGGGCGCAGTTCTGGGGGTGCCGGACCCACACCCAGCTCTGGATGTGCTCGGGGAGGATGCTCAGGAACTGCTCGAGCACCAGCAGCTCCATGATCTGCTCCTTGGTGCGGACCTCGGGCCGGAGCCACCCCCGGGACAATTCCCGCAGCTTTTCCCAAACGTCCCGCGGCCCCGACGCCTCCTGGTACCGGAATTGGCGGAACCGCAGGCGGAGCAGTTCGGTCCCGGCGCCGCCAGAGCCACCGGGAGACCCCCCGGGATTCCCCTTGGCCCCTCCGGGATAACGAGGATCCACCCCGGGAGCGCCGGGATTGCCCCTGGGGCCGCGCTTGGGACCACCAGGACACCCTCTGGCATCGCCAGCACCCACCCTGGGACCACCGGGAGCGCCCTCGGGACCACCAGGATGCCCCCCGGGACCTCTGGGACAACCGGGAGCCACTCCGGGACCACCAGCATTCCCAGGAGCCCCTCCAGGACCCACCCCGGGACCCCCCCCTGAACCTCTGGGACCACCAGGAGACCCTCTGGCACCTCTGGGACCACCCGGGCCCACCCCAGGACCTCCCCTAGAACCCCCTTTGGGACCCCCAGGACCCCTCCTGGGACCCCCAGGACCCCCCACTGGACTCCCCCCGGAACGCCCCTCCCTGTCCCACCCCTCTGAGGGTCCCGGGGGTCCCCGGGGGGGCCCGGGGGGCCCCAGGGGGGGGGGGGTCTCCATCCCGCCGGGATCCATCGTGGCCCCCCCAAAACTCCCGGGGGGTTCTAGGTGGATATGAGGGGGGAGGCGGTAGGAGCAAACACAGGGGGAGGGTTAAGGGAAGGTTCCCCACCCCTCTCCCCCAACGGGGGGGTCCCTCCGCAGCCCCCTTGAGCCCCCAAACCCGGTGGTCCCTCCCGCAGCCCCCCCGAAAACCTCAGCCCCCAAAACCTTGCGTCCCAGCCCCCCTCCCTACAAACCGAGGGTTTTTCCCTGGTGAGGGGGTGGGTCTCCCCATCCCCCCCCCCGGGGGTCCCACGGCCCCCTCCCCCCACGCCAGGGGTCCCTCCCTCCCCCCCTCACCCCCCCCCTCGGGGGTCCCGCGCCCCCCGAACCTGCTCCGGCCCCTCCACCCGCCCAAACCCGGGGGTCCCGGAGCCCCCCTCCCACAAACTCGGGGGTCCCGCATCCCCCCCCCAGCCCGGGGGTCCCTCCCTTTCCCGCGCCCCCCCGGGGGTCCCGCGCCCCCCGAACCTGCTCCGGCCCCTCCACCCGCCGCTCTCCCACACAAAGGGCCGGATCGGCCCGGCCCGGCCCCGCCCCCCGAGGGGCCTCGGCGGGGGGTCCCGGGGGGTCCCAGGGGGTCCCTTCGCCCCCAAATTCCCCCCCCAAAAATCAAACACCCCCCCCAAAAAAAACCCGAAACCCCCCGTACGTGAGGGGGGGCGTGGAGCGGCCGCTGATTGGGTGAGAGCGCTGTCAATCACGGGGAGTCCCGCCCACCCGCCGGGTATGATTGACAGGGCGGAGAGCCAATGGGAGCGCGAGGTGCGGCGAGGGGGGGCGCGCCTAAGGTGGGAGGTTGAGGGGGTGATTGACAGAGTAGCGAACCAATGGCAGAGCGAGAAGGCGCGAAGGGGGCGGGGTTTGGTGGGGAGGACACGCCCCCTCCGAGCGCTTTTCCAAGGAAAAACCGGTCACGGATGGGCTTTTTCCAGGGAAAACCAGTGGGAAATGGGGGGGTTTCTGCAGGGAAATGTGCTTTGGGAAAGGAGGAAATGCAGGAGATTTGGGAAAAGGAACTTGAGCAATTTTGGGGCGGAAAAAAAAAGGAAATTAAGGTGCTTTGGAAAAGGAGGAATTGAAGGAAATTTGGAAACGGAGAAAAGGAAGGAGTTTTGGGAAAAGCGGAGTTGGAGCTTTGGAAAAGCTCCCACTGGAGGGGGGGGCACACAGGATCTCCAAGGTGAGTGGGGGGCACATCCAAAGGCGACAAAGGAGACGGAGTTGGATGCTGAGACAGACCCTTTATTGGAGTCATGCTGGGGGGGGCCCCAGCAGGCAACGCCCCCGTGGACGGGGCAAGGGGGTTACGAGGGTCTGAGGGGGCCCGTCGGGGGGGCTCAGCTGCGCTCCTCCAGGCTCAGGCGGTCGAACAGGTACTCCCCGAGCCCGGCCGGGGCCCCCCCTGGCCCGCCGGTGGCCCCGGTGAGGCGGCGCAGGTTGGTGGCGTGGTCCCCCAGCGCCTTGATGGCCTTCACCTGCTCGTCCAGGTAGTGGGACTCCAGGAAGTCGCAGAGCTGCGGGAAAAGGGGAGATCAGGCAGGGCCGGAGTGGGGGGGTCTCCACAGGGAGCAAACGAGGGGCTGGGGGAGGTGGAGACTCCCAGGGACGGCTGGAGGTCCCAAGAACGTCCAGGCAGAGACCTCGGAGCACAGGGGGGGACCCCAAGGCACAAGGGAGGAAAACACGGTCTGGGGGGCTCAGAGGCTTCGGGGGGGGGGGGGGGGGGGGGGGGAGTGAGGGGCAGAGAACAACTCACGTGGGGGTCTCCCTTCTCGGAGGCCAGGCCGTGCAGGTCCAGCAGCGCCTGGTTCACCGACTTCTCGAGCTGCAGCGCTGCCTCCACCGCCTCCAGCGCCGACCCCCAAGTGTCCCGCTCCGGCTTCTGGGGGGGGAGAGCAGGGACCGTCACCAGCCCGGGACCCCCAGCCCCGCCCGCGGGACCCCCAGCCCCGCCCGCAGCCCCCCCGGCACAGCCCGAGCCCCCCGAACCTTGACGTCCTGCAGCAACACGCGGCCGCCGCGGCGCGTCTGGAAGCGCAGGAGCCCCTCGGCGTGTTCCCGCTCCTCCCGAGCCTGCTCCAGGAAGAACCGGCCGAGCCGCGGCAGCGCCACATCGTCCCGCTCGAAGTAAAAGCCCTGCGGGGACGGAGGGAGGGGGAGGCGGCTCAGGGGGAGCCCCCCAAAAGCCGCCCCCCTCCCCGGCCCTTATCTCGCCCTCGCAGGCGGCGCCGCCCCACCGGCCCCGGCCCCGGCGGGTTTTGGGGGGCAGGAGGGCGCTCGGGGGGGAAGGGGGGGATCCCTCAGCCCCCGAGGGGAGGGTCCCGAAGCCCCCTACCATGGAGAGGTAGACGTAGGAGGCGTGGAGCTCCATGTTGGCCATGCGGTTGACGGCGGCTTCGCAGTCGCGGTGGTAGTTCTGGCGGATTTGGGACTCCATGGCGGGCGGACGGACGGACGGGATGAACGGACGGACGGACGGACAGACGGACGGGACGGACGGACGGAGGGTCAAGGGGCAGCCGGTTCCGTTCAAGCACTGTTGAAGCGAGAACGCGGCTCTGCCCGCACAAAGCCCCGCGCGGGGGTTTTATCCCTTCGGCGGTGGGCGGGACCCCCCGCCCCCCCCGGGACCCCCCTCCCGCCCGGAAGGCGCGGTGGCCTTGGCCCTTGGCCCTGTTTGTCACACGGGGCCCAGTCAGCGTGACTGGGCAGGATTGGAGGGGTCGGGGCTCACGAGCGTTCCCACCGCGGGCGGGGGTCCCGGGGGGGGCTGGGGGGGGTTGAGGGGAGCCCCATCTCCCTGCTGGGCTGGGGGCACAGGGAGTCTGGCGGGGGGGGGGGCGGGGAAGGAGCTGGAGCGGGGGGGGCAGGGGGGGAATTTTTGGGGGGCTCAGTCGTGCCCCGTTAAGTGGCGTTTGATGGCCCGGGGTCACGACGGGGCGGGGAAGGAGCTGAGTCAGCCCCGAGGCCATAAAAAGGGGAACTTGGCCCCTTGGAAGTGCTGACTCGGGTTTCCGCTGCTTCGGGGCTGGGAGAAGTGCGGGGAGGGGGGTGCTGGGGGGGGATTAGGGGCAGCCCCCCCACCCTACAGCTCTTCCCTTCGGTTTTTACTCCTCGGGGCTCCCCTTGTGCCCCCCCCGTCCATCTCCGGGTTCTGGCTCAGCCGGTCCCAGACAGGAATTTCTGCACCCCCACACTCAGTGAGGCCACGGGGGGACGGGGGGGGGTCACGGGGGGGTTGGGGGGGGTCGCACAAGGAGCGCCGCGTTTGCTTTTTTTTTTATTCCCGTTGAAATTCCCGAGATACAAAACAAGGTACAAAAAAAGAGAAGGAAAAAAACCATCGAGAGAAACGGGGGGGAAGGGGGGGGGCCGGGAGGGGGGAAGGCAGGGCACCCCCCCGTTTGGGGGTGGGGGGGGAGTTGTCCCCGATGACGTCATTGCATCGTGACATCACCCCCGAGAGCACCGTGGGGGAGGGGGGGTCGCTCTGCCCCTGCCTCGGGGCAGCTCCAGGGACACTCCAGGACAATCCAGGGATTGCCAAGTGGGGACCTCCGAACCCGAGGGGTTGGGGGGTGTAAACGGGGGGCACGGCCCCCCCCACCCTGAGAGCCTCCGCCCCGGGAGGGGGGTATTGCACCTGGGGGGGCCCTTCTGGGGACAGGGAGCCCCCAATAAATACTCAACCTGCAGCCAGGGCTGCAACCCTCCCCCCCACCCCCTCACCCCACGTGGTTGGGGGTCACAGATGCCCCCCCCTCACCCTCCACCCCCCATATCCGGGGGGTGGAACCGCAGGACCCCCCCCCAAAGCACCACAAGTTCTGGGGTCAAACCGCTCTGAGGCCGGGGGGGGTCACCGGGGACCGTGGCCCCCCTGCTGCTCAGGGGGGGGCCCAGCACCGGGGCTGGGGGGGACGTGGGAGGGGAAGTGGGGTGCCCCCCACCCCGCTAACCCCCCCCCAAATCTGGCAGGGTCCCAGCCGTGGCCTCGGGGGGGGGAAAAGGGCTGCGGGGGCCACAGCTGCCCTGGGGGGAGGGAGGGAGGGAGGGAGGGAGGGAGGGGAGGGTCCCACGGCTCAACCGCCCCTCCCCAAGTCCAGGCGAGCGAGTCCTGGGTGTTAAAAAGCCCCCTGCTCCTGAAGGCACGGGGGGGTCAGCACCATCCCTGCCGGCAGGGCCGGGCCGGGGGGGGGACGGGGAGGGGCTGCGGCCCCCCGAGGGCCTACGACATCTTCCAGATGGTGAGCGAGGCGGTGAGGACGCCGGCGGCGAAGATGGTGATGGTCTGCCAGGTCGGGGTCCCGAAGTGAGAGAGCAGCCCTTCCTGGGGGGGCACAGAGGGGGGGTCGCTGCAGGGCCCGTCCAAAGCGGGGGCTCAGAGGATCGGGGGGGTGTCCAGGGACTCACCCATCCGCCCTGGGCCTGGATCCAGGCCAGCACGTGCTCCCGCAGGTACTCCATGGTCCAGCCCAGGATGGTCTGCACCAGCTCCGGGACCTTGGTGCAGAGCGCCTGCGGGGACAGGGGGGTCAGGGGGGCCAGGCAGGGCTGGGGGGGCAACGGCAGGGACCCCCCCCCCCTCAGACCCACCACCCCCCTTCAGAACCAGCACCCCCCTTCAGACCCACCACCCACCTTCAGAACCACCAGCCCCCTTCAGAACCACCACCCCCCACCTTCAGAACCAGCACCCCCCCCTTCAGAACCACCACCCTTTTCAGAACCACCCCCCCCCCTTCAGAACCAGCACCCCCCTTCAGAACCACCACGACCCTTCAGAACCACCCCCCACCTTCAGAACCACCACCCCCCTTCAGAACCACCACGACCCTTCAGACCCACCACCCCCCTTCAGACCCACCCCCCACCTTCAGAACCACCACCCCCCTTCAGACCCACCCACCTTCAGAACCAGCACCCACCCTCAGAACCACCCACCCACCTTCAGAAATAGCACCTACCTTCAGAACCACCCCCCACCTTCAGACCCACCCACCTTCAGAACCAGCTTGCAGGCGAAGTAGAAGAGGGCGACGACGCGGCCCCAGTTGAAGGTGCCGTCGGCGAACATCTCCTTGGCCACGCGGAAGAAAAGCTTTTTGGGGGCGTCACAGCCCACCTGCTCGATCATCCTGGGGGGGCAGGGCCTGTCAGCGCCTCGGGGGTGGAGAGCGGGGCCCCCCCGAGCCCCCCACCCACCTCTGCAGCTCCATGTTGCTGTCGAGCTCGTCGCCGATGCGCCGCAGGCACTCGCTGAGCCGTTTGGTGTCGGGGCTGCTGGGCTGGGGCTCGCCCAGCTCGGCCACGCTCAGCGCCACGGCCTGCGGGTCCCCGCAGCGCTCCACGCGGTCCCGCACGAACCTGGGGGCGGCCAGAGGGACCCCCGGCACTCTGGGCACCCGCCGGGCCCCCTCCAGATCCGGCGGCCCCCCAGGTGCCCCCACACCGTGTCCCCCCTGCACCCCGTGTCCCTCCCACTCCTGTGTCCTCTCAAGACCCTCCGTGTCCCACCTGTACCCCGAATCCCCCCACGTCCCTCTGCCTCCCCAAGTCCCTCTTGCACCGTGTCCCTCCCAGTCCTTTCTCCTCTCAGGACCCCCCAGGTCCCCCCTGCACCCCCCGTCTCCCAAGTCCCTCCAGCTTCAAGCCTCCCCTGCACCCCCAAGCCCCCCCCGCCCTCCGTGTTCCCCAAGCCCTCCCTCGCCCCCTCCCCTCGCCCCCCAGCTCCTCCCGCTCCCCCAGCCCACCCTCCCGGCGGGCCCCGGCTCCCCCACTCACGCCCGCAGCAGGATCGCCCCCGTCTGCATGATCTGGTCCGAGGAGGCCCCTGCGAAGAGCGGGGCGCTGACCCGGGGGGGACGCGGGGACCGGCCCCGGGCGCCCCCCCGGCCCGCACAGGCCGCGCCCCCGCGGGGGTCCCGGCCCCGCACTCACCGCCGCCCCCCGGGGGCGGGGCGGGCTCGCGGCCGCCGGAGCCGCCCCCAGCCCCGGCCCCAGCCCCGGCCCCGGCCCCGGGCTCGCCGCCGCCGCCTCCACCGCCGCCGCCGCCCCGCTGGGCCGAAGCCGCCGCCGCCGCCATCGCGCCCGGACCACGTGGTGTCCCCGCCGGCGTCACGTGACACCGGCAGAGCGGGGGGGGAGCGACGGGGGGGGCGCCGCGCCCGAGTCACGTGGGGCGGGCGGAAAGTCACGTGATAGGGACACCGCACTACGGGGCAGATGCCACGCCCCTCACTGGATGGCCACGCCCCCTGGGTTGGTCACGCCCCTCGGGGCTCGGCCACGCCCACGCAGCATCCCCCCCCCGGGACCCCCGGGATCACCAAGGGGGGGGTCAGACACAGATACCCCCGGGGGTCCCTGGGGGGGTCACACACAGAGACACTTCGGCGGCGATGAGGGGTCACACCCCCCCCCGGGGGTCGATGGGGGGGTCACACGCAGAGACACTTCGGGGGTCGATGAGGGGTCACACACACGGGGGTCCCTGGGGGGGTCACACACAGAGACACTTCGGGGGGTGGTGGTGTGGGGGGGTCGATGAGGGGTCACACCCACACACACACCCACACACACCACACACACAACACCACACCACCACACACACAACACCACACGTCCCCGGGGCTCAATTGGGGGGGGGTCACACACACACACACCCGGGGGTCCCTGGGGGGGGTCGCACACACACACACACGTCCCCGGGGGTCCATCGGGGGGTCACACACGCACCCGGGCACGGCCGTCGGGGGTCCGGGGGCCGCACCGCTCGCGACGCCCCCGCGGCGCTTCCACCGCCCCCGGCGCTTCCTGCGGGCCCGAGGCCGCGGGCACGGGCGGGGCCGCCCGCGGGAGCCGCCGCGGGGGTGCGGGGGGGTCGGGCCCGGGGTGGGCGCTGGCTCCGGGCGTGCGGGTGGGCTGTGACCCCCGCGCAGACATGAACCCCAAAGGCTGCCTCGGCTGTGCCAAGTGCTTCCTCTTCTTCCTCAACCTCTTCTTCTTCGTGAGTGGGGTCACGGGCGGGAGCTGGGGGCACACGGGGCTGGGGGGCACTTGAGGGGGCGGGGGGGGAAGATGGGGGGCAGGGGACAGATGGGGGGACACGGGGCTGGAGGGACAGGGGGAGATGGGGGGACACGGGGCTGGGGAGGACCTGGGGCTGGGGGCACACGGGGGTACAGGGGAGACCTGGGGAGGGGGCCCAGCTGTGCCTTGGGGGGGACAACAATCTCCTGGTGCTTGTGGGCACTGGGGGGTCCCCCACTTGCTGACCCGGACTGGGTGCCCCTCCCTCCACCCCCCAGGCCCTGGGCACCCTCCTCCTCGCCTTCGGCCTCTGGGTCCTCTTCGACCGGCAGAGCTTCGCCGCCGTGCTGGGTAAGGGACCCTCGCACCGTGGGGCACCCCGAGGCGTGGGGCACCCCGAGGCGTGGGGCACCCTGAGCTGGGGGGGTGCCCTGACCCCCCCTGTGCCCCCCCAGGGTCACCACTGGTCAGCCTGAGGGTCTGGTCCTACGGCTTCTCGGGGGTCGGCATTGTCACGATGCTGCTGGGGTTCCTGGGGTGCCTGGGGGCCCTCAAGGAGGTCAAGGTCATGCTGCTGCTGGTAAGCTGAGGGGGCCGGGGGGGAGGGGGGCCAAGGGGGGGGGCTGCAGAACTGGGGGGGGCTGGGGGAGCTGTGCTGCAACTTCCTGGAGCGACCGCGGGCCACGTGCTCCCACCACATCCTGTGCTTGTGGAGCGGCACTGGGGAGCTGGGGGGACCCCTCTGCTCTCCCTCGGTGCCCAAGGGGGGGGTGTGGGGGGGTCCTGGCTGACCCCCCACCTCCCCTGTTTGTCCCTGAAGTACTTTGGGATCCTGCTGCTGCTCTTCGCTGCCCAGATCACGGTGGGCGTCATCGTCTACACGCAGCGTGTTGCTGTGAGTTCTGGGGGTCCCCGGGGCTGGGGGGGGACCCCGGGGCTGGGGGGGGGCCCAGGGGCGGGGCAGTGCCATGGGACACTGTGCTCACCCCCCACCCCCCCCAGCTGGCCACCAAGGTGGCCACCTACGCGCAGCAGCTGATCCAAGAGTACCCAGCTCAGGGACCGCCTGGGGACCCCCACGAGAGCTGGGATGCTGTCCAGCAGCAGGTGAGACCCCCACAGAGCCCCCCCATCCCCACAGCCACCCCACGGCCACCCCACTGACCCCCCGCCTCCCCCCAGCTTGGCTGCTGCGGCTGGAACGGGCGCCAGGACTGGGACCACCACGAGGGACCCTCCGGGGACACGGACGGGGCCGAGACCGTCGCCTGCTCCTGCCTCCAGGCCCCCAACAGCACCCACGGGACCCCAGGGGTGCTGCCCCACGGCCGCTGCCCCGTAGCTGCCCCCAGTGACATCTTCCCCAAGGTGAGGCATGGGGGGGTCACAGGGTCCTGGAGCTCTGGGGGGGGCTCCAGGTGACCCCCGATTGTCACCCCCCTCCCACAGGGCTGTGCCGCGGGCGTCCGGGACTGGCTGGCTGCAAACCTGATCACCATCGTGGGGGTCTGCGTGGGCATCGGCCTGGGGGAGGTAGGGGGGCTGCTCCGGGGCGGGGGGGCTGAGCTGAGGGGACAGCCCGGGTGGGGCTGGGGGTGGTCGTGGGGCTGTGGGGTTGACCTGGGGGGTAGCCTGGGGACTGCAGGGCCATGGGATGGGTGGACTGGGGGTCACTCAGGGGTCCGAGGGGGTTCAGGGGATTTTCAGGGTGGCCGTGGGAGGGTCAGGGGGCTGGGAGGGGGTGTTCAGGGTGGTCGGGGGGGGGTCTCAGGGGTCCGGGCAGGTCAGGCTGCTGACTCAGCTCTCTGCTCCTAGCTCGCCCTGCTGATGCTGTCGATGTTCCTGGTCAGGAACCTGGACCCCCACTACGAGAAGCTGCTGCGGGGGTTCTGAGGGGCCAGGGTGGGGAACAGAGGGGAGGGGGGCTGTTCGTCGGCGGTTTCTCTTTCAATAAAGAGACAGGAAGCAGCGGGACGGGGCCCGAGACCGGAACCGGGCCCGGAACCGGGACCCCCGACCCGCGAAGAGCGACACGTGCCCCCCGCGCTTTTATACGCGATCTCTCCTTGCCCCGCCCCTTGCCCCGCCCCTTGGCCCGCCCCTTTCCTTTGGGCGCGCGCGCCCGGCCCCGCCCCTTCCTCCCTCTGGGCGGGAACGGCTCGCGCCAGGCCCCGCCCCCTCCCCGCCGTGAGGCGATTCCCCCCCGCGCCCCCCCCCCGCGCCCCCCCGTCCCCCCTCAGGCCCCGCGGCCCCCCGGGACCCCCAAAACTGCACACCCCGACCCCAAAACTGCACACCGGGACCCCGAACCGCGCCCCCGGGGCACGGGGGGACCCCCGACAGACCCCCGCGATGGCTGCGGAGGGACCCCGCGCCCCGGGAGCCGCCGGGCCCCTGCCGGGCGGGGCCCGTGAGGGTCCGGGGGTGGGTGGGGGGGGTGAGGAGCCGGGACCCCTCACGGCCCGCCCTGTCCCCCCAGCCCCGGCCGAGAGCGGCTGCTCGGACGAGTTCGCCCTCGACTGCACCTTCGCCGCCTGCGACCCCGAGCACACAGGTGGACGGACAGACCCTCCTGGGCCGGGCGGGCCGGGGCCAAACCCCCCCCCGGGCCGGTGACCCCCGGGCCTGACTGACCCGGGCCAAACCCCCCCCGGGCCGGTGACCCCCGGGCCTGACTGACCCGGGCCAAACCCCCCCCGGGCCGGTGACCCCCGGGCCTGACCGACCCGCCGCCCGCCGCAGGGTCGGTGCTGCCGCAGCGGGTGGTCGAGTACGTGGCGGCGGTGACGGGGCACAGCGGGCACGAGGGGCGGCTGCGGGCGCTGCGGCGGGCGCTGGACCCCGCGGCCTCGGGGGCCGCGCTGGACCTGCCCCGGTTCCGCGCGGCCATGGGCACCTGGATCGCGGCGTGTCGGCAGGACGGGTCAGTCACGGGGGCACTGCCGGGGCCAGGTCAGTGTGGGAGGACGGGTCAGTGCCAGGGCCAGCAGGACGGGTCAGTGCCAGGGCCAGCAGGATGGGTCAGTAACGGGGGCAGTGCTGGGGCACGAGGCAGTGCCGGGGCCAGGTCAGTGTAGGACGATGGGTCAGTGCCAGGGCCAGCAGGACGGGTCAGTGCCGGTCCCCCCCACGTGCCCACGGACGGCTCCCTGTCCCCGCAGGAGCGCGTGGCTTGGCGAGGAGCAGGAGGACACGGAGAGCAGCGAGCCCAGAGCGGCACTGGCTGGTGGGTGTCAGTGCGGGAAGGGGAAATCGGGGTTGGGGGCCACAGTGGGGACACCGGCGCGATCCCCCGTGTCCCTGCCCCGCAGAGGAGGACGGGCGCGCGGCCCTGGCAGCCGCCCAGCTCCAGGGTGGCAGCGGCGACAGGGACGTCACCAGCCCGTAAGTGTCGGCCTCGGGGACGTCCCGGCCCCGGCCGTGCTCTGGGGCTGGGCTCTCCCCCAGCCTCGGAGCACCCCCGGACCGGTGGGACTCCCCGGCAGCGCCGAAGCCGCTGGGCTGCGCAGCCGTGCCAGGCAGCTGGCCGCCCACAACACGAAGCTGCAGCGGGACGCCGAGCTGGCCGAGGAGCTGAACGCCCGCCTGGCCGAGGAGACGGCTCAGCTCCAGGCTCAGCTGCGGAGGTGCGGAGCCGGCGCCGGGCGGTGGCCTCTGGCCGGGGCGCTCCGGGGACGCCGAAGCACCTCTGTGCCCCTTTGCCCCCCGGCAGCAGCCGGCAGGCGCTGGAGCAGGCCAGGGCGGCCGCCGAGGAGCTGGAGGACCTGAAGGCCGTGGCGAAGGGGCTGGAGGAGGAGAACGGCGAGCTCCGGCGGCAGGCGCGGCACATGGTGAGCGGCGCGGCCGAGGCGCGGGGCTGCCACACCCCGACCCGCGGGCCCCGGCTCACGGCCCCGCACCCATCGTTCCCAGGAGAAGGAGCAGCGGAGCCTGTGCTTGCGGGCCGAGGGGCTCCAGGAGGAGGTGAGGCCGGGGCCGAGGGGCTGCCCCGGTGGGATCCAGGATCTGGGCTGGATCCGGGACGGTGCCGCCGAGAACCCCAGCCCGTTTTTGCAGAACCAGCGGCTGCTCGCCGAGGGCCAGGGGCTGCGGGAGCAGATCCAGGCGCAGACGGCCCGCGTGGCAGACCTGGAGGTAAGTGCTGGCGGCGGCCACAGCGGCCCTGCCTCCCCGCCGGTGCCGGGGACGGTGTTAGGTGCCAGCGAGGCGGGTCCCTGTCCCCTCCCCTCCGCCCAGGCCCAGCTCTGCCGTGGCACCGTGCTCCTCTCCGCCCGGGACGCCGCCCTCGCCCAGGTGAGCGCTGCCCAGGGACGCTGCCACCGCCTGGGCCGCGACCCCCAGAGCCGCCCCCGGGCCCCCCCGCAGCCCCTCACGCTGGGCCCGTTCCGCAGGCGGGGCGGCGGGCGCAGGAGCTGGCGGTGGCACTGGAGGAGTACGACCGGGCGGTGCAGGTACGGCACGTCCAGAGCCAGCCCCTCGGGGGGGACAGGGAGCCCCTGGGGGGACAGGGAGCCCCTGGGCCACAGCAGACCCCCACGGTGGCCACTGTCTCTGGGGGTCAGGGGCAGAGGCTGCCCAAGCTGCCCACCGTGCAGGCTGAAAAATGCCCTTTTTCCCCCCAGGAATTGCGGCTGGAGACGATGCAGCTGCGGCAGCAGCTGGGCCGGATGAGGGACGCCTGGGCCATGTACGTGGGGCCGGGGGGGACACGGGGCCGGGGAGGGGATGGGGACACGCCAGCCCAGCTCCGGCTCCTCGGGCCGTGCGGCATCCCGGCTGGCCGGCAGCCCAGCCCCGGAGCACTTCACTCTCCCAGCGCTCCCAGGGCTCAGAAATGGGGAGGAAAGGGCCAAAAGTGGGTCTGGCAGAAGTGGGGTGATCCACTGGTGCAGCTGCCTGCTCCCGCTCCTCCTCCTCACCCTCACACCCCTCCTCTTCCTCCCGCAGGCGCCCCTGGTGCCCCCTTGACCAGGCCACGGACATCGCAGCCACAGCGGCCACGGCGGCACCGAGCCAGGTAAGGGAGGGGGCACCGGGGTCCCTGTGGGCTCCCCACAGCCACTGACCCCCCCGTATGACCCCCGGCCCACTGCCCTGCCAGGGGACAGGGCACACGGAGGAGGAGGAGGAGGAGGAGGAGGAGGAAGGCTCTGGGCCAGCAGTGCCCGGAGCCCCGGCGGGGAGCAGTGAGGAGCCAGCCCGGCCGCTGGTCCCGCGAGTGGCACCGTGGGCGCCGTGGGCACTGGCACTGCTGGCCCTGCTGGCCCTGCTGGCCCTGCTCTACCTCCTGCCCCCCCGCTGGCCCCAGCCCCAGCTGCGCTACCGGAGCCCCCCACCCCTGTGAGCCCCTCTCCCCTAATAAAGACCTGTCGGGCAGGACGGTGCCAGCACAGCCCCCCAGCCCCGTGTACCCACCCCCCCGGTGTGTACCCACCCCCCCGGTGTGTACCCACCCCCCCGGTGTGTGCCCACCCCGCCCCCCAGGTCCCACAGGCTCGTCCCTCTCCTCCCAGTTCCCCCAGAGCAGGCTCAGAGTCGGGGGCTCAACACCAGCTTTATGGGCCTCGCGGGGGGCCGGGGTGGGGCCCTGCTCTCCATGGCTCCGGGAGGTCCTGGTGCAGCCCCCCCGGGGCTCCGGGAGGTCCTGGTGCAGCCCCCCCGGGGCTTCCCGGGGGGCACTGGGGGGGGTCCCCTTCTCCTGGGTCACCAGTGGCTCAGGCCAGCCTGAAGGGGGGCAGGGGGTGAGGCCTCTGCCCCCCAGAGAACTCGATGTCCCCCCAGGACGTCCCCAGGGACACCCCCCCAGTACCTGTGTCTGTCCCCAGGGACACCCCCCAGTACCTGTGTCTGTCCCCAGGGACACCCCCCCAGTACCTGTGTCTGTCCCCAGGGACACCCCCCAGTACCTGTGTCTGTCCCCAGGGACACCCCCCAGTACCTGTGTCTGTCCCCAGGGACACCCCCCCAGTACCTGTGTCTGTCCCCAGCTCCTGCTCAGCCGCTCAGGTCCCGTCCTGCTCCGACATCGGGGGCCCCTGGGAGGGCTGGGGGGCACTGAGGGGGGGCACACCTGACACCCCCAGCACACCCAGCACCCCCAGCACACCCAGCACACCCAGCACACCCAGCACACCCAGCACACCCAGCACACCCAACACCCCCAGCACACCCGACACCCCCAGCACACCCAGCACACCCAACACCCCCAGCACACCCAACACCCCCAGCACACCCAGCACCCCCGGTGTCCCCACTGTCCCCAACACACTCAGCACCCACCCGTGCTCCCAGTGCCCCCAGCATCCCCAGTGCCCCCAATTCCCCCAGTGCCCCCCAGTGCCCCCAGCATCCCCAGTGCCCCCAATTCCCCCAGTGCCCCCCAGTGCCCCCAGCATCCCCAGTGTCCCCAGCATCCCCAGTGCCCCCCAGTGCCCCCCAGTGCCCCCAGCCTCCCCAGTGCCCCCCAGTGCCCCCAGTGCCCACCTGGCCGCAGGGCCGCCTCCACAGCACCCAGGCTGCCGCCGCCAGGCCCAGGGTCCCCCCGAGCCCCCCCAGCAGCACCAGCCCGTGGCCGCGGGGGGGGGGAGGGCCCTGCCTGGCCCCCAGGGCCCCCTCGAGCTGCACGGCGGGGGTGGTCAGCGGGGGGGGCGCGGGGGGGTCCCTCGGGGGTCCCGGGGCGGTCCCCGGGCGGCAGCGCAGGCGGGCGCAGCCGGGGAAGTGGGGGGGTCTCCCCCGGAGCTCCCCCAGGTCCCGCCCGAGAGTCTCCAGCAGCCGCGACACGTTCACCGTCTCCAGCCGGACGCAGCCCTGGGGGTCCTGGGGGGGTTGTCACAGGAGCCCCCCGAGGACCCCAAACCCCTCCTCGGCCCCCCCTCCCTTGGGGATGGCGACCCCAGAGCTCCCACGGCCCTGCCCGGTGGCCCCCCCTCCAAGACACCCCAGAGAACCCCCCCAACCCCTGCAGGGTCCCCAGAGCCCCTCGGAGACCCCCCCAGAGTTACCGTGAACTCCCCAGAGCCCCCTGGGGACCCCCCACCCCCATCAGAGTCCCCATAACCCCCCCCCGGAGCCTCCCAGCAGCCCCCCCCCCTCTCAGGACCCCCAGTCCCCGGGGAGGACCCCCCAGGGCCCCTCCCCAGAGCCCCCCGCTGACCTGGATGTGGCACTCGGCCACGAAGCTGAGGTGGGCGAGGAGGGCGCTGAGCAGGGGGGCCAAGTCCTGCCCCGCCACCCCCCGCATGCGCCGCAGCGCCGCCGCCCCGAAGTGCAGCCCCCACAGCGGGGAGCAGCCGCTGTCCTGGGGGGACACAGGTCAGGGGTTGGGGGGGGGGGGGGACGTCAGGGGGGTGCAGGAGTTGGGGGTCAGGGGTCCCGGTGGGGGGGGTCTCGCTCACCGGCTCCAGGTTGCTGGGCATCGCCACGGGGTAGTCGAGGAGCAGCCAGGGGGTCTGCGGGGGGGCTCGGAGGGTCCCCAAAGAGAGCCCAGAGTGGGGGGGCGGGCTCGGGGGGTCCCGAATGACCCGTGTGGGTGGGGGGTCAGGGGGTTTTCGGGACCCAGGGAGGGGCTTTCCCCGGGAAATGAAGGAGTTCAGGGTGTTGGGGCAGGGGACGGGGCGCGGGGAATCCTTTGGGTCTCGGAGCGGTGCCGGAGGTCCCATAAAGGGTCCGTAGGATCCCGGAGGGGTGCGAGGGGTCCCGAAGGTCCGGGGGGTCTCGGGGAGGGCAGGGCAGCCCCGGGGAGGGGGGAGTCTCACCAGCTCGTTCAGGTGGGTGCCGAAGGTGCTGCTGACGGGGTTAAAGCTGAAGGAGCAGCAGCTGCCGGGGGGGGGCACGGCCAGAAGGAGCAGGAGCGGGACCTGGGGGGGCACCGGGGGAGGGCTGGTGGTCCCGAGGGGGTCTCCCGGGGATCCCAGAGGGGCGCGGGGTGGGGTGGGGGGGCGGGGGGCACGCGAAGGGGCCGGGGACCGACCCCACTTACCAGAGCGGAGCCGGCGGGGGGCGAGTCCATGGCGGTGCCGAGCTGGGGGGGGCGCGCGGGGACCCGAGACCCCCCCCCCACAGGGCCCCCCGGGACCCCCTCGGGCCGCGGCGGAGCCGCCGCCGCCGCCGAAAGCGAAAGTGGGACCGAGGCGGGGGCAGGACCCAGGAAAGGCGGGGGGGGGGCACACGAGGCCACCGGGACCCTCCCCCGCCCCCCCGGGGGCACTCCCGGCCTCCCCCACCCCTCAGCCCGGGGGACCCCCGCCCGCTCCCGAGGGGGCTCCGCCGTCCGGGACCCCCCCCCCGCACGGCCCCGCCGAGCTCTGGGTGCGGCTGCTTCGAGCGGGGGGGGGGCTGCGCGTCCGGGCACGTGCGGGGGCGGGGCGGCCCCCCCACCCCCGAGACCCCCCCCGAGACCCCCCCCGAGACCCCCTCACAGGCAGAGACACGACACGGGCTGCGGCGGGAGAAGGTTTATTGGGGGGGGGGTCACAGTGCGAGGTCAGAGACCACCCGAGGTTTTGGGGAGGGCTCTGGGGGGGGCTCAGGGTGCCCCCCCCGGCACCCAGAGGCACTGGGGGCGGGTGCAGCGCAGCTCCAGCTCCCGCGCGGCGCCGGGGGGGGGGTCCTGCCCCGGAGCCCTCAGGAGCCCCCCCGGGACCCCCCACACGCGGGGGACGCTCAGGGCCGAGGGCCAGTCCTGGGAGGGGGGGAGGCAGTGCCGGGTGAGGGGGGGACAGACCCCCACGGCCGGGGGCACCCCCATCGCCCGGCACCCCCCGGTGCCACAGGGACCCCCAACAGCGGGGTTTGCTGCCCTCCCCAGCCCCCTCACCCCCCCATCCCCTTTCCTGTGCCCCCCGTCCCCACTCACCGTGTCTGCCCCGCAGAGCCACAGCCCGTCGGGGTGCTGCCGGGCCAGTCTGGCCCCGGACTCCCGGGACCCCCAGGACCCCCACGGCAGCACCGCCAGGGCCCCCCCGGGCAGCCCCGCGGCCACCAGGACCTGGGGACACACGGGAGGGGCTGTCACCGGAGGGGACGGGGCCTGGGGGGCTTCTGGGGGGGGAAAGGGGACGGGGGGGGGGGCCCAAAGGAGCCAGGGAGGGTCACAAGAGGGGTCCTGGGGGGCTCCTGGGGAGGTCCGGGGAGCTCTGGGGGGGTCCACAGGGGGGTTCTGGAGGAGAAAATCCCAGAAGGGACAGGGGTGGGTTCCTGTGGGGACCCAGAAAGGGTCGGGGGGGCTGACGGAGGGTCTTGGGGGGTTCTGGAATGATGCAAGGGGCACACAGGGGGTTCCAGGGGGATGCATAAGGGGGCACAGGGAGCACATGGGGGGTCCTGGGGGGGCACATGGGGGGTCCTGAGGGGTCGTAAGGGCCACACGGGGGGGCTGCAGGGTGGGCACACGGGCAGGCCTGGGGGGGTCCCACCGGGGAGGGAACGGGGCAGGTTCTGGGTGTTCCCGGGATGCCCGGGGGGGTCCCAGGGGGGTCCATCCGGGGGTCCCCACCTGGCGCAGGCGCAGAGCGGCCCCGGCACCGCCGGGCGGGGCCACCAGCACGACGCTGTTGCCGAGCGCCAGCGCGGGGAGGAGGAGCTCCGGCAACCAGGGGTAGGGCCGGGACCAGACCACGCCCACCACGCCCAGCGGCCTCCTCAGCACCAGGGCCCGACCCCCGGGCACCTCCTGGGGGGGAGAGGAGGTGTTGGCCACGCCCTCTGTGAGACCACACCCCTGTCACGTTTAGCCCCACCCCCTGGGGTACCAAGCTCCACCTACTACTGTGTGGTCCCGCCCACAGCTGCCTGGCCCCGCCCCCCCTTGACCCTCAGCCACTCCTGTTCACTTGAATCCTCAGGCTCCGCCCTCCCACACGGCCCCACCCCTCCAGGCCCCTCCCACCACCTGCACAAGCCCCACCCATCCACACAGACCCATCCACACAGGCCCCGCCCACCTGCACGGCCCCGCCCATCCGCTCCGCGTGCGCCGCCCAGCGCAGCAGCGCCCCCTGCAGGCGCCCCTTGTCACCGTCGTCGCCGTCGTGGCCTCCGGGGGTCCCGCCCGGCCCCCCCAGCGCCGCCGCCGCCCCCCGCAGCACCCGGGCCCGCGACAGCCCCGGCAGCCGCCCCCACCTGTGGGGGGGACACACACACAGAAGGGGGGGTTGGGGTCCGAAATCCCCCTCCCCAAAACCCCCACGGCCCCCCCAGGACCCCCCGTGACTCACCCCAGGGCGGCAGCGCGAGCGGCCACCACGGCCCCGGCGAGCTCGGCGTCCTCGGGGTCCGGCACGGCCTCCTCCGGGCTGGGGCTGGGGCAGAGGGGGGGCTCAGAGGGGCAGGGGGCATGGCTGGGGCTGGGGGGGCATGGCTGGGGCTGGGGGGGCCCTCAGGAAGGGCAGGGGGTACCTGAACGGCTCTTCCAGCTCAGGGGGCTCTTCCCAAGGGGGGCGTCCGAACTCTCGTAGTGCCTGGAGTTGGGAGGGGCCTCAACCCGTCTGTAAGGGCACAAGACCCCCCCAGGCCCAGGAACCACCCCAAAACCTGTCTGGGGCTCCCTTTCGGGTCCCCTCAGCTCCTCCACTGCCCCCAAAACTGCTCAGGACGCCCCCAGGAAACCCCGAGCCCCGCCACGTCCTCTCCACCACCCCCAGCCCCTCCACGGCCCCTCCGACCCCACTTGGGACTCCCCCACATCCAAGAACCCCCAAATTCTTCCCAGGCAGGGGACCCCAACATCCAAGAATCCCCCAATAGACACCACATCCCCCTCCCTCACGGCCCCCCCACGGCCCCCCTCACCTCAGCCCCCTCCTCACCACCCCTCGGGGCAGGGGGCTGGAGAAGGCAGTGGGACTTCCTTAGTGAGGCCAAAGCCCTCCAGAGCCCCCTTTTCAGCCCCCCCAACCCCTCTACGCCCCCCCAAACCACTCGAGACCCCCCCCACCTCCTCCGGGGTGGTCTCCGCGGCCCCCGCGGCGCAGCCCCCGCTCGGGTCCAGCAGGTTCAGCTCGTTGAGCCACACGAGCCCCTGGGGCAGCCTGTGGGGGCACAGCTCAGGCATTCGGGGTGGGGGGCGTCACGGGGGGGGTCTCGGGGGTCCCACTGACCTCTGGGCCGTGTCCAGGCCCGCGGTGACGTCCTGGGCCCAGACGGCGGCGGCGGCCGTGAGGGGCAGGGAGGAGGCCACGGCCGCGGCCTCGCCGGGGGAGCGCACGGGGAGCAGCACCAGCACCGGCCCCGCGGCCTGGGGGGCACGGGGGGCGCGTCAGGAGACCCCCAAACGGCACCCGACCCCCTGAGCCCCCTCCCTCCCTCCCCCGGGACACCCACCGGCTCCCGCAGGCAGCGCGAGGTGGGGGCGACCCCCGTGATCAGGGTGGGGGGGTAGAAACGACCCCCCGGCGGCGGCGGCAGCGGCTGGAAAACCTGGGGGGGGGACACACGAGGAGCCTGCTGGCCAAAGAACCCCCAACTCCACCCCCCCCAACGGCCAGGAACCCCCAAACCCCATCCCCAGGAGACCCCGAGGCACAGGAACCCCCAAAGTGTTCCCTGAGAGACCCCCAACATCCAGGAACCCCCAAACCCCGCCCCCCGGGCACCCCCATGGCCAAAATCTCCCAAACTCCCCCCCAGGGGAACCCCAATGTCCGGGAACCCCCCACGTGACACCACGTCCCCTTCCCCTGCCCCCCCAACCCCTCCTGTCACCCCGATGTCCCCATGGCCCCCCCTCCTCCTTCATTCCGGGCCCCTCACGTCCCCCCTCAGGGTCTCCCCTCAACTCAATCCCCCCCAAATCCCCCCCAAATCCCCCCCAAATCCCTCCCTCCCCGCTCACCTCAGCCCCCTCCTCGCGCGCCGCCTCCACCAGCTCCCGGGGGTGGGGGCCCGTGGGGGGCAGCGGCCCCACGTCGGTGCCGAGCTCCAGGGGGTCTCCGACCCGCAGCCCCCCGAGCCGGGCCCGGAGCCGCCGCTCCAGCGGCGCCAGGACCCCCTCCTGGGCCAGCACCACGCAGCCCCCCCAGGGGAACTGCGGACACGGGCAGGGCTCAGGGAGCCCCCGGGGCGCTCCTGGAAGCCCCCCGGGCCCCCCGTGAGCCCCCCGAGACTCACCAGCGCCGGGGGGGTCCCCGCGGCCCCCGCGACGGCGGCGGCGGCGCCGTCCAGGTCGGCCGAGTCCAGCACCACGACGACGACGCGGCCCCCCCGGGCCCACCCCACCCGCGGCCCCCGGCACGGGGACCCCCAGACCAGGCCCTGCACCTGCTCCTGGGGGGGGACGCACACGTGGGGATGTGGGGGGGGCACAGGGACCCCCCCCAGCCCCGCTCGGGACCCCCCTCCCCACCCCGTACCTGTGGGGCGCCGAGGAAGGCGACGGCGGCGATGTCGGGGTGGGCGCGGAGGGCGCGGCACAGCCCGGGGAGGGGGCCCGTGACCACGTTGAGGACCCCGGGGGGCAGAGCCCCCCCCTCCCCGCTCAGCTCCGCCAGGTACAGCAGCGGGGGGGCCACCTCGGGGGGGCACAGCACCAGCACCGCGTTCCCTGCGGAGACCCCCCGGAACGCCTGGGACCCCCACACGGACACCTGGGACCCCCAAAACACCCGGGACCCCTGCAGGGATCCCTGGGACCCTGCACGGACCCCTGGGACCCCCAGAACACCCGGGACCCCTGCAGGGATCCCTGGGACCCCCAAAACACCCGGGACCCCCGCACGGACACCTGGGACCCCCAGAACACCCGGGACCCCTGCAGGGATCCCTGGGACCCCCAAAACACCCGGGACCTCAACATGGACACCTGGGACCCCCGCACGGACACCTGTGACCCCACACGGACCCCTGGGACCCCCAGAACACCTGGGACCTCAACATGGACACCTGGGACCCCACACGGACCCCTGGGACCCCCAGAACACCCGGGACTCCTGCACTGGCTCCTGGGTCCCCCCCATGTCCCCAGAGTCCCCTCGTTGTCCCCCCCACGTCCTCAGAGTGCCCCCCATCATCCCCAGAGTCCCCCCTGGCCCCCAGGACCCCCCCATCATGCCCAGAGTGCCCCCCGTGCCCCCCAACTCACCCATGGCCAGGGCAGGCCCCACTTTCCAGAGCAGCGCCGGCACCGAGCAGGGCCCGGCCACGACCACGGCCACCACCCCTGGGACAGCACGGGGGGGTCAGGGGGGGCCGGGGGGCTGGGGGGGCCCCGGGGGGGGTCAGGGGGACACTCACCGAGGGGGGTCCAACCCTCCGGGCCGGGGGGGCCCAGCTGAGCCCCCCCCGCCGCCGCCCGCAGCAGCCGCAGCGCCAGGTCCAGGTCGGCCCCGAGGGTCCGGCGCAGGGGCCGCCCCCCAAAAAGGGACAGCAGCCACCCCAGGGCCCCCCCGGGGGGCCCCTCCAGGGCCAGCGCCAGCCTGGGGGGGGCACGGAGGGAACGTGGGGGCACTGGGGGGCTCCGGGGGGGACATTGGGCAGGGAGGGGCGTGGGGGGGACACGGGGGTGGGCACCGGGCACGGGGGGAGGACACGGGAGGGGCACGGAGGGGTCGGGGGGACACACGGGGGGGGTCCCCGGGACTCACCTGTGCAGGCTCTGCCCCCGCCGGGGCCCCCCCAGCCGCCCCCACTCCTCGGCCGCCGCCGCCGCCGCCCCCACGGCCTCGGCCACGTCCGAGCCGTCCCCGTCCGGCACCGAGGCCACGGCACGGCCTGGGGGGCACGGGGGTGAGCCAGCCCTGACCCCTGACCTGTGACCCTGACCCCTGACCTGTGACCCTGACCTGTGACCCTGATCCCTGACCTGTGACCCTGACCCCTGACCCTGACCCCTGACCTGTGACCCTGTGCTGACCCTGACCCCTGACCTTGGCCTCCCCCAACCCATGACCCTTGACCTGTGGCCCTCAGCCCTGACTCTAATCCATCCCTCCGCCCCTGACCTTGACCCCTGACCTTACCCCTGACCCGACCCCCAATCCTTGACTCCGCCCCGCTCCTTGACCTCTGACTCCTGACCCCCAATCCCCCGCCCTGTCCCTGACCCCAACCTTTCCCCTACCCCCTCCCCGTCCCCCCGTGCCCCCCGTGCCCCCCCCTCAGAGCCCCCCAGTGCCCCCCATGCCCCCCCCCGAGCCCCCCCTCACCGTCGGGGCCCCCCCGGCTCTCGAGGCTCCCCCGTCCCGGCGGTTTCAGCCACGTCCCCCCCACGAAGTGTCCGAGGCAGCGCCCGTGGGACTCCAGCCACGCCTGGGGGGGTCCGGACATCGCTGGGACCCCCGGCCCAAACCGGGGGGGGGGGATGGACCCTGGTCATGCTCAGGCCCCAAAAACGACCTTTGGCCTCGGGTGGGGCCCCGCACTTTGACCCCCCCACTGCCCCCCCCGTCGCGGCTCCCCCCCGACCCCCCCACCCCAGGGGTCTCCAGGGACCACCCCCAGTGCCCCCCAGTGACCCCCAGGACCCCTCCCCAGGACACCCCCAGGGCCCCCCCTCCAAACCCCCCGACCTCAAAACCCGCCCCCAGCTCCCCCCACTGCCTCCCCCAGCCCCAGTTGTGACCTCAGGACCCCCCATGCCCCCCCCAGCTCCCCAGACCCCCCCCCAGCCCTCCAGGACCACCCCAGCTCTCCACGCCCCCCCCCCCCCCTCACGAGCCCCCCAGGGCCCCCCCAAGGGCCCCCCCTCGGGCCTCCCACGCCCCCCCCGAGCTTCCCCAGGCCCCCCCCTCACCTCCCCCGCCCGGTCCCCGCCGGGGGTCGGACCCTCCTCCATCGTGTCGAAGATCGCGGCGACCGGGGGGGGTCCCAGCGCCGCCAGCGCCGCCATCGCGGGAGCACAGAGACGGCGCCGGAGGAGCAGAGCGGCCCCCGCGGGGACCATCGAGACGGGGCCGGGGGGGCAGAGCGGCCCCGCCGGAAGCGGAAGCGGCCGGAGCGGCAGGTGCAGTGTAGAGAGGGGGGTCCTGAGGGGTCCTGGGGGGTCTCTGGGGGGTCTGGGGGGGCACGAGGGGGGTCTGGGGGTCCTGGGGGGTCTCTGGGGGGGCACGAGGGGTCTCTGGGGGTCCTGAGGGGCAGCCCGGGCGCGGCGGGGTCGGGAGTCGTTGTGCTCCCCTCTGGACCCCCCGTTTCCCCCCCAGCCCATGGACCCCCCCGCGGACCCCTCGCTGCTCTCGGCCGAGCTGGAGGCGGAGGAGGAGGAGGAGGAGGAGGCGCTGCGGCGGCTCCTGCTGCAGGTGGGTCCCGGGAGGATGGGGGGGATCCCGGGCGGGGGGTCCCGATCCTGACCCCGCTCCTGACCCCCCCCATCTCCCCCCCGCAGGTGACCCCGGCCCATGAGGAGCCCCCGCCCGCCGGCCCCGCCCGCGCTGTCACCCCCCAGCCGGGTGAGGGGCGTCGGGGGGGGTTAGGGGGGCTCTGAGGGGGGGATTGGGGGTCTCGCTGGGGCTTTGGGGAATCTCAAGGGGGGGGGATTGGGGGGGTTTGGGGGTTCTCGAAGCGGGTTGTTGGGAGGTGGGAGGGCTCAGGGAGGGTTGGAGAGATTCGGGGGAGTTCGGGGGTCTCATTGGGGGGGTTGAGGTGCTCAGGGAGGGTTCGGGGGGTCCCAGAGCGGTGCCCTGACCCCCCCTCCCCTTCCCCTGCCCAGGGCTGTGCGTGAAGACCCGCACGGCGACGGGGGACAAGGTGTTTGTGAACGTTTGTCACTCGGGGGAGGTGCCCCCTCCCCCTGCCCTGTCCCCCCCCGGCCTCCAGCGGCTCCTCCAGGACCCCCCCGGCCCCGACGGCGCCTTCCGGATCCCCATGAGCCTGGGGGAGCCCCATGCCGAGCTGGACCGCGGTGAGAGCCCCCCCTAATCGCCCTCTGAGCCCCCCCTGCCCCCCAGTTCCCCTCTGAGCCCCCCTTGCCCCCCCAGTTCCTCTCTGAGCCCCCCCTGCCCCCCAGTTCCCCTCTGAGCCCCCCCTGCCCCCCCAGCTCCCCTCTGAGCCCCCCCTGCCCCCCCAGTTCCCCTCTGAGCCCCCCTTGCCCCCCCAGCTCCCCTCTGAGCCCCCCCTGTCCCCCAGGAGGCCGCGGCTGCACCGCCTACGACGTGGTCGTGAACTCGGGGTTCTTCCGGACCCTCCAGGTGAGGGGACCCTTGGGAGGGGAGTTGGGGGGCTCGAGGGGGAGTTGGGGGGCTCGAGGGGGAGCTGGGGGCCCTGATTTACCTCCCCCGACCCCCCCAGACCGACCCCTTGTACCTGGAGTTCTTCCTGACCGTGGCCATGGAGGGGCTGTCGGAGAAGTACGGGGTGGAACTGGAGCTGACTGGTGAGACTGGGGGGGCTCGGGGGGGGTCTGGGGGGCAGTGGAAGGGACTGGGGTGGAACTGGAGCTGACTGGTGAGACTGGGGGGGCCCGGGGGGGTCTGGGGGGCAGTGGAGGGGACTGGGGTGGACTCTGGGTATTAGGGGGGAACTGGGAGGGTTGGGGTGCAGGGTGATGGGGAATTGGGAATGGGGGAAAGATGGGCAGGAGAGGGGAAGGGGGGATAGTGAGGGGTCAGTGGGGGCTGTGGGGAGATCAGAGGGGGCTGGGGGGAGATCAGAGGGGGCTTTTGAGGGGTCAGAGGGGGCTGTGGGGAGATCAGAGGGGGCTGTGGGGGGATCAGAGGGGGCTGTGGGGATCAGAGGGGGCTGTGGGGGTTCCCCCCCCCGTGACCCCCTCTGCCCCCCAGGCTGGCGGGTGCTGAAGAACCGCAGGTTCCTGGGCTCCATCTCGGCCCAGAACATCCGGGCCCGGCCCCAGCCCCGCATCCAGGAGCTCCAGGGGTGAGCGGAGACCCCCGGGACCCCCCTGGGGACCCCCCAGCTGTCATCACCCCTCTCTGACCTGCCTCCTCTCTCAGGTCCCCCCCGGAGCCACCGACACCCCACAGGTAGGACTTTTGGGGCCCAGTGGGGACGGGACCCCCCCACCAGCGCCCCAGGAGCCCCTGGACCCCCTCGGCCTGACCTCCGTGTCCCCCCCAGCCCCACAGAGCCCCCCCAGTTCGTGGTGGTGGCTGAACCCTCGGCCCAGCACCCGGAGGTGCTGCAGGCGCGGGTCCTCCTGCCCGAAATTGTGAGTGGGGGGCACCGGGGGGGCTGAACGGGGCCGAGGGGGGCAATTGGGGGGTGCTGGAGGGGCATTGGGGGTGTGGGGGGGCATGGGGGCGAAGGGGGGACAAGGGGGGGAATTGGAGGTTGCTGGGGGGGGTTAAGGGGGCACTTGGGGGGTGCTGGAGGGGCACTGGGGGTGGGGGGGGGGTCACCGGGGGCTGGGTTTGGGGGGGTCCCTGGTCCTGAGGGGGTTCCCCTGAAGGAGGGGTCGGGTTTGTGGGACCCCGGGGGGGTGTTTTAGGACGCGGGGAGGGGGCGGGGTCGGTGGGCGTGTCCTCTGACCCCGCCCCTGTCCCCGCCCAGGAGGGGGCGGGGTCTCTGTGGCTCGGGCTGAGCGAGGAGCGGCTGGTGCTGGCCCGGCCGCCAGGGGGCGCCGCGCTGCTGGAGCTGGGGCTGCCCCGCCCCGCCGACCCCGCGCGCGGCCGCGCGCGCTTCCACCGCCGCTCCAAGGTAACGGCTGCCATGGCAACGGCCGGGGACACGCCCCCTGCCCCCGCGGGACACGCCCCCTGACCCCTTACCGCCCCCTGACCCGTTACCGCCCCCTGCAGGTGCTCACGGTGACGGTGCCGCTCCGGGCCTGAGGGACCGGGGACCCCCCGGGACCCCCCGGGACCCCCCCGGGACACCCCGGACACCCCTTGGGACCCCCAGGACACCCCCAGGACACCCCTCGGGACACCCCGGACATCCTGGACACCCCTTGGGACCCCCAGGACACCCCCTGGACACCCCTCAGGGACACCCCGAGACCCCCCAGGGTCCCCTTCGGGGCAGTCCTGGACTGCTCCTGGCACAGCCTGGACACCCCCGGGGCTGCCCCTGGGCTGCCCCCAGACCCCTTTTTTGTACAAAACCCCCCAATAAAGGGTAAATGGGACCCTGGCGTGTGATTGGCCGAACCCTGAGGCCCCGGGCAAACCCCCCCTCCCGCGGTGTGGGGGGGCTCAGCCCACGCAGGGGGGGATTGGGGGGATTTAGCGCTGAGCCGGCGCCGGGGGGGCCGGGGGGGCTCCCAGAGCTCCCCGGGAGGAGGAGAAAGGCCCTGGGAGCCCCAGGGAGCGGCCCGGACATCGGGGGGCCGTGGGGAGGGGGGACCCCCAGGTGTCCCGGGGGGGGACCCAGGTGTCGGGGGGACCCCCAGGTGCTGGGGGGGGGCAGGGGAGGGGGGTGACCCGGGTGTCCGTGGGATCATGGTGCCCTGAGCTGCCATGCAGTTCAACAAGGAGGAATTCCGGCGCCAGGTGGGGGCCGGGCTGGGCCGCCTGCACAGGTGAGTCCCCGGGGCGTGGGGAGGGGGGGCCTGGGGGGGCTGGGGCAGGTTTGGGGGTCACAAAGCACCCGGGAGAGGTGGGGGGGGGTTGGTTCTGCTCCCTGGCACTGCCCCGGGCCGGGGGGGCCGGGGGGTTCTTGTCCCCGTGTCGGGCACCCCGTCTGTGCCCCCCCAGCCCCTGACACCCCCCAGTTACACAAGTGTGAGCGGGATGGAGCCCACGGGGGTCTGGGGGGCGCAGGGGGGGTCTCGGGGGGCGCGGCAGGGCCGGGGGCTCCCGCACGCCCGAGCCCGACCCCGCCCGGCCCACGCGTGTCCGTCACACGCGTGTGCGTGTCCGTGTCCCCGTCCACCCCCGGGGCCCCGGCGCGGGATTTACAGCCCTTAATCTGCTGCTGCCGCCGCGGGGGGGACACGGGGGGACACGGGGACGGGGGGGGGGCGGTGGGGAAGGACACGGGGACAGCCGGGCTGGGGGGGCCCTGGGGACACGGGGAAGGGGGGCCATGAGGCTGGGGGGGGCACAGGGAGCCCTGGGGACACGGGGAGGGGGGGCCCGTGAGGATGGGGGGGGC